ACAACTCCAAAGTGTCAGCAAATCTTCTCCTTTACATATTAAAAACAGAGTCATTCCCAAAACAGAAGTGGTAGGACAAACTTTAATAAAAAAAGAAAAAGGAAAAAAAAGAAACGTAACCTTGTATAGCCATGGAAAAGGAAAAGAATATTGACACTGACGACATTATTTGCAGTCTTGCTTTATTATAAACATATATTTAAAAAAGAAAAGCAGAAAAGCATGACCATGAATGTGTTGCAGGGACGACAACACGATCTCTCTAATCTGGCAACTAATCATCCTGTTCCAATCCCTCATGGTGAAACATTGTCACATCATCCAACCTTATACATCAGGAGTACACATGGTTACATAATAAAAGCTAATATATAATAATTATTACAAATTTCAGTAAATAAGTTTTAAGGATGGTTTTTCAATTGGTGCGACACATTTTTGCTTCCACTGCCTTTAAATTTTAACCCTAAAAGTGACGCGTAGTTGCCCTTTACCTTGTAGAATATACTAGTATGAAACTAGCATATTTGAATAGTGTCCTAGTAGCAGTATACTACTAGCAGGTGGCATATTAGTGTACTACTACTATGCTAGTTTTATGCTACCATACTAGCATAAAAACTATGATAAAACAACTGATTCAATACATTACAACTGGGGAAAAATATCTCCTCACTGGATTTCCATGCTTGATCTTATCCAAAAGGCAGAAAAGCAATTCCTTATTGGATTTCCATTCATTGTATGATTACTTTTTTCTTTATAATTTATTTAATTTCTATTTATTGCATTGCTTTTTTGATATTATAAACTAAATTAGGCAATTGGGCTGCATTTTATCTTAACTCTCAAGTCGCAATGTATGGAAATTTAAATTTATTATTAGATTGGTCCGATGCATCACATAGAAGAGAGAGAGAGAGAGAGAGAGAGAGAGAGAGATTATTTATTTATTTTCTCTCAGTGAGTTGAACAACTATTCCCCGGAGCTCTAACCCGTTTCGTCAGGTCGTCATAGTGATTCCCTTGGTGTGAAGCAGTGTTTGAGTGGCTACTTTAGCGCGTGTCAGTAATAAGTTAGTGTTTGATCCTGTTGATGTATCGGCTGATCACAGCATGTACAGAAACTCATCCTCCGGCACGCGACAGCACCGACCATGCGATACTCACATTAAAGCGTGTTAAGGTGAGTGTTAGAAACACAGTGACATATTTGAACCAAGACTTGTATCGGAGCGGTGGATGAAGTGTAGCGGTCCCCTCCCCTGCACTCCCTACAGCACAGAAAGCAGCCCTGTAAACGGACTTTCACTTATTAAAAATAGAAGAAAGAAAAAAGAAAATAAAAACGGCGTTTTGCTCCACTTACCAATTTGCCCCCCTCCAAAAGCAGCTTGTATAAATGCCGTCTTTATCTCTAAGCGCTCCCGGGAGAAAGACAGACACACTGACAATGTCCGTCCGCTATATTTAGGAAACTGACAAACTCCAAGCAGCTACGCGCTTAGCTCCGCCCACTCGCAGCCAGCGTGCAGCTACGTCCGCACACAGACGTCCAACATGAATTTATCATGTAAGAGTGGGTCTGAAAATTACACGTGAGAAAATTAAATAAAAGGGACAAAATAAAGCCTGAACTATTTAAAAAACAAAATGTGTATGAAAATATCTGGAGACACCTTCCTTCATCCATCCACATCCACGTCTGTGCACTTACAAACGTCTTAACACTCAATTTCACACTTTGTCATGCTGAAACAGCCAAAATCTTAGAAGTATTTTATTGTTATTTTTGAGAGTGGGCGATAAGAAGTTAAGTATTTTCAGTATTCAGTACAAAAACTACTTTTAATAAACGTACCCATTACATAAAGTGTGATTTTAAATTACTAAACAGCAGCACATAGTAAGTTAGCTGCATTTAATCATACTTTTTCATTTGAGTGATATTAATTGATGCTGTTTCATTATTAATTGGAATGTATCAACAGACTAACAGACATTTTGTGGTACTATTATGATAACGATAAAAGTGACGATACAAGTTATTTATTACTTTTTTAGGAAACTCATAGATCCACAAACCCAAATCCTGTTTTTGAAAAACAAATAATGTGCAATACACTTCTTTAGGACACCAGTCACTTAAAGGAGCATGATGTGTATCACTGTAATGTACACAGAGATTGCTTTTAATCTTATTTTCAAATGTATTGATATTTATTGATACACCCTTGAACAAAAAGTGGAGGAAAGTAGTAAAACTAACAATCCTGACGGTACGGAGAGTTTTATGGGCTTTTAAACATAATTTGGATTTATTGAGAGCGATAAATCAAAATCACGAGTAGAAGTTTATCATGATAAATGATAAACGATACAATAAATGCCCAACTCTACTCTGAAGGCACAAACTCAGGCTAAATGCATGGAGAAGATCTGTAAAAAGTCATTGTCAAGCCTTAATATTCCTGAATTTATGTCTGGACTTTGACTGGGTCAACATGAATACGCTTGAATTTTGATGATGTCACCTCTGCCTTTTCGGTCATCCTGCTGAAAGTTGATCCTCCACAACAGTCTGAGAGCTTTTTCTAGCTTCTCTTTGCTTTAGGCAGCCGTGTCTTGGTAGGTTTTTGCTACAAAGCTCATCTTGATTTGAAACTTCTCCACAACTTTGTCCCTCTTCTTCTACCTGCTCAGTTCCTCGGTCTTCTTTTTGCAGTTTGTTCGCTAATGTTCTCTAAGAAACCCATGAGGCCTTCGCCGGACAACTTGGACAACTTAGTTCCTCATCCAGCGCACAGTTCCTCTCTTGGTACCTACAGTATACTCTCGCTGGGTCTACAAAACACTGATTCTGAGTATTTCTATTAATACTCACCAAACAAGCAGAACATTTGCTGCTCTGTTTCTCTGCGTGAAACTAAATGGTTGCTGTCACGACTCTTCTTCTTCACTGAGTTCCTTTAAATCTGGACTAAAGACCCAGCTGTTCAGAGTTGCTTTTGAAACATTTTGATGTGTAACAATGGCACTTGACAAAAATGCAATGCTTACTGGTTTTCTTGTTTGTTGAGTGCATTCTATGACTTTGTGTTTTTCTGTTTTTATGATGTAAAGCGCTTTGAACTGCCTTGCTGCTGAAATGTGCCGTACAAATAAACTTGATTGATTGATAGGTCTGCACCATTAGCATTGTTCTGGAAAACCTTTCCCAGTTTTGTCTTTTTTCTCCTCCCTCATTTCAGAATGAGAACAATCACAACAAAGGGAGTTTAAATAAGGACGTTATTTCCATTCGAAAGAGTCACACAGCCGAGAAAGAAAAATCCTTGCAAGCGACTTACAGAAACGATAAAATAATCACAAAGTAGCACCAAGGAGAAAATGAGAAGTACAAAAAAAGAAAAAAAAATAATATGTTTGGAAAGTTGTTCCCTTTTTTTATTTTTTGGGGAGAATACACAACTCAGCATGATCGCATGTAGACACCAAGGGTAATAACTGATCTATTGATAATTTTATCCAGCCTCAGCCTGCAGGAGAAGCTTGTGACTGTGAGGTCACCAGAGCAAATGGAGAGGCAGCAGCGGCGGGCTTGGTGCGGGCCACGCCGCCGGAAACGTTCCGGGCACATTACTGAGCTCCTCGTTGTTCCAGAGGAGCTGCAGGGGAGATTCAACTCCAATATGTATAAGCAGAACTTGTGTCTTGTCTGAGTTGCCGTGACCATCTTAATGTTCTTATTTTCGCAGTGGCTTTTTTTTCTCTCCCTTTTTTTTTTAAATCTTGGTTCTTTAATTTTATTTGCTTTGATGCTTCAGCTGGAAAAGCACGACAAGTTAATCTTTTATTTTCTTTTTCTTTTTGGCGGGGTATAAAGAGGAACAAAGGGAGCATCTGTCTTGCAACACCAAACCATCAGAAGTTCATCGGGAGAGTTCACACAAAAGTAGAAATGCAGTCATGAGAGTCAAAACGGATTAGAGAGCGATTCAGTTCATTAGAGTCATTTTAATGGTTTAAAGTAGTTTTTATAATTCAGTGGAGTGATGTGCCTTTGTGGAGTTTATAGTTATTCCCTCCAATAGCACCTTCAGAATATAGAAGGTTATAGCGCCATCGTGTGGCGCTAAGAAAGATGAAAACAGACTTTTCATTTTCAGAAACCAGTAGTTTTCTTTTCTGTTCACCATTTTCTTTTGTATTGTTGAGTTTTTACGTCTCTGGTGTAAAGATGCACATATCAGGGCCCTCACAGATAGAAATTGAGAACAAAAAGGGTAGATTTCTGCCAAAAATCTCAGAAATTTTGAGTCTCTGACTTTTTCTAGAAAAAACTCTAAATGTCAGAGTAACAAAAGTGGAAAATTTGCTAGAAAAAAAAACTGAAATTTGAAACTAATCTCAGAAGTTTTTTAGAAAAATAAAAATGTTGAAAAATTTTGAGTTTCAAAAGTCAAAACTTTTTGACTTTTGAAACTCAGAAAATTGACAAAAGTTGAAAATGTTCTACTTTTGGAACTCAAAAATTTCAATATTTTCTAGAAAACTTCAGATTAATCTCAAACTGAGTTCTTTGATGAAAATTTATCTCCCCCCTTTTTGAGAACTGAAAAGTGATTCGGTTCAATCTGCTCTCATTTTTTATTGCTTAATATTTGGTTTACAAACACAATGTTTTCCTCTTTGAGCTAAAATAAACTCACAACCTTTCAAAAGTATCCAAACTCTTTCAACTTTTGTTAAAATTTTGCAATGCTATGTGAATGTCTCCAGTGTTTTTTTAATTTTTTTTATTTGACTTTCATTCATTGGTGCATCATTTTGGTCTACAAAAAGTAACTGGAGCTAATTCAGACTGGATGGAAACTTTAAATAGGTCAAAAAAAAATCTCATCTGAAGTTTGTAGCAAACTTCAAACAGGATTTCTTGGGGACTTTCTCCTCGCCATTCTTCCTTTAAACTAGACTTTAAAATAAAAGCTGATGACGACTCAAGGTTACAAATTTGCAGTGTTTATTGCTAGTTTGTTCAAAGAGCCCTGTTGTACATTTCATCAGAAAACGGATGTCGGTTTTACGATACATGGGAGCCTTTTGTGTTTTCAAAGGCAGTGGCAATTTAAAAATGTATACGTTTTCACTTGGTATTCTGCATTACTCTCAACATTTACATGACATTTGCAAAAGTGACAGGGAGCAATAAATAAAATACACACAAACGCTGATCAAAAACTGATGAATGAACATTAACATTGTTTTTCCTGGAACACTTGTGATATAAGTACACCTTTATTTACCCAGCCAAGAAAACAAAAATAAAAGTTTAATATTTCCCACATCTGATCTCTCCCTCACTGCCACACTTGATTTAAGCTCAGCTTCCCACTTTATAGTTTTACAGCACCGACTGACATAAGGCTAAGTGATGAAGAGCTGTTGCTATGAGTTACTGCTGCGCTCGATGATGTGACTCTGGAGGTTTTATGTGTTCACAGTGTTAGCAGCAGTGAGGAGTGAGGAGAACAAGGAGTCTGGTCTTTGCTTCAGCACTTCTGGGGGGTCCAGTTCTGCTGCCTGAAAAGACAAAGCCAGACGAGTCAGGGGACGCACAGCGGCGAGTTAGGGCCATTGGAGATGGAAAAAATAAATAAATACATTTCTGCCAAAAAAAAAAAAAAAAAATGTCCTTTTTAGAAAAGAAAAGACATTTCCGAATATGAAAAGTTGTAAATTTGCAAGAAAAAACTGAGAAATTTTCAATAAGAAAAATGCGTAAATGTATTTTTGAGTTTGAAAAGTTCAGAAAAAATTTTTGAGATTAATCTCTGATTAAACTGAGTTTGAGACGTTGTGGAAAAAAAAGTAGAACATTTTTGACATTTGAAACTCCAAAGGTTTGACTTTTCTAAGATTTTTACCTCAAAATTTTCTGGGGTTGATCTCAAAATTTTGTTGTAGGCAGAAACTTTTAAGATTTTCTAGAAAATTTATAAGATTAATCCCAAAATTTCTGAGTTTTTTCAAGTCAACGTTCTACTTCTCAAACTCTCAAATTTCCACTTTTTACATTTTTTTTTTTTTAATTTCTGAGATTGATCTCAAAATTTCTGAGTTTTCGGCAAGACTTTACCCCTCTTTTTTAATAACTAAATCTGCCGTAGTGTGCTGTCGTAGGGACGAGACTCTTAAAAGCGTTCCTCGTCGTCTCCATGTAGCTCACCTTTCCATCGTCCATGACCAGAATGCGGTCTGCGTACATCACAGTGTTGATGCGATGTGCGATGGTGAGCATGGTGCAGTCGTGGAAGGCCTCCTTGATGGTGTTTTGGATCAGAGCGTCCGTCTCTGAATCGATGGAGGCCGTGGCCTCGTCCAGCAGAATGATCTGTCAGGCACACCATGGAGGATGAGGCACCCACTCAGATCTAAATCAAGACTAAAATCCACTTGTGATTCATAATAACTAGAACTTTGACAACATATTTGATGAGCATTGATGATTTTGATGGTGGAACTTGACAAAATGTAATGTCTGTCACTAGTTTTACAATGTGTTTATGGCGTTTTTTCTGTTTTTAGGACAAAGAGCTTTGAGCCGCTGTGTTGCTGAAATGTGCTACACTCAAGTTAACTTGATTGACTGAACTTGATCTGCAACAGAATAGTTAAAAAAACATGAATATTTTCCCCATTGTCTTACAATGCAAAAAGACAACTTCAGTGTACTTATTTGGGATTTTCTTTGATAGACCAATAAAAGAGTGAAACAATGTGGATTAGGAAGAAAATGACTCAATGTTTGCACAGTTTGCTGAATTTGCTTTCATTTCCCCCGTTGTAGTTATTTTCCTTCGTGTCTCTACCAGCACATCGACAGACTAATATTTTTGCCTATTCTTTGCAAAATTGCTAAAATTAAATGGAGAACATCGGTAAAAACAATCCTTTTCAAGTCTAGTCAAAGAATCTCAATTAGATTTAGGTCTGGACTTTGACTGGGTCATTCTAATTCATGACCCATTGTTTTTTTTTAAAGGCTGATTTTGCAGCCTTTAAAAAACTTCTCTTTACTTCCCATAGTTTGATGCTGCCAACAATAAGCATTTGCTGTTTAACTCCCCCTCAACACAAAGTATTCTGTATGTAGGACAATGTGTTTTTCTTTGATTTCTTTTGGTGTCATTATTCCTGAATATCTTTCTTTAAATTGCAAAATTATATACTACTATGTTGAGCTAGTCTCTCAATATCAGTGCCACATCGTGACAAATTGTGCCAATATTAAGGGGGTGTGATTACTGTGGTGATAGTGTAGGCATATGGATGCCCACGCATACGGACCTTGGAGTTGCGAAGAAGTGCTCTGGCCATACACACCAGCTGCCTCTCACCGACAGAGAAGTTTTCTCCATTCTCCAACACTTCAGCCTGCAACGTCCCGTCCAGCTTGGAGATCTGAGGAAACACACAGGCACAATGTATTTAACACTTTATCTTCCGTAAGTATATATATTACAGTTAGTTTGTGCTAGCTTTATCTACGGGACATAAAGCTAGCACAAACTAACTGTAATATATACCTTTTGTTTTAAAGAAGTTGACATTTAAAACTTAATTTCACGTTTAGTCATGTTTATTTGTTCCACTTGTGAAGACACATTTATTCTTGCATAAAAAGCTTGGATCACGCTTTAAGTTGTTTACCACATTGGAATTATGGCTGTCTAAACCTTCTCTATAAGAGCAAACGTCAAGGTGCTGGAACCGTACCTTTGGTCATTTGAGCTGATTAGATATATTTCACAGCCAAATTAGCATTTAGTTAGCCTGACTATTGCTTTCTTATGCAATTCTGCTCGATTCTCATCTCACTTCATTGCGCGGCTGGGATTTCTTTCTTTGAACTCAATTTCGAATCAGTGATCAGCAGAAGTTGTGAATGATGACATAGTTTTTCTGTTTTAGAATTGTAGTTTGCCTGTAGTTTTAGCAATAGCAGCAGAGGAAGTGAACGCAGACGTTCAGTCGATGTTGGCCTTGCTTTCCAAATATTAAGCCATTAAAGTTAGACCAAGACGAATGTTTAAAACATTTTAATGCTGACAAAGATGTTGTGGCTCTACTTTCTACGGGGTTGTTTACAGAACAAGCAATTTCTGGTAAGCTTCATCAAACTGACGCCTTATGCAATGCCAAAACATTAACGACTGGGTAAAATGAGATCCAGTTCTTTAAAACTTCAATGTAATCCATGCCTCCAGCTAGCAAGTCGAGGGTCCAGATCATCTGTATGAAGCAAAGCGTAGAACGTAGAACAAGCTAGCTAGCATTTACTGATGTTGAAGCCTCTTCTGATTACCACTAAAAGCAGAAAACACCGATAGCTACTGTGTAAAAACCACTGGTAAATTATTTAAGAAGGTTAGAATTAATACTTTTATAAACTCCAATGAGTCCAAAGAGTTGTGCGGTTTAGTAACATACCGAGTCCTTCATGTAGGTTTTCTGTAGCACCGCCCAGATCTCCTCATCAGTATACTGATTAAAAGGATCTAGGTTGTACCTGTGGGTAAACATAGTGGGTAAACTGGTGACTGGTCCACACAGCAGTGGTTGTTCTGTCAAAAAACTTGTGTGAGTAGCGGGTACCTGACCGTGCCAGTGAACAGCACCGGGTCCTGGGGGATGATGGAGAGTTTGCTGCGCAGATCCCGCAGGCCGATGGCTGCGATGTCCACATCGTCAATAAGAATGCTCCCTCCCGCCGGCTCCACCAGTCTGAACAGAGCCACGCCTAAGGAGGATTTCCCTGTAGACGGAGCGCAGGGGGAGGGAGGGGCTGAGTCATGCTCTGTAACTATGGTGACGGCGCAGGATGGAAGCCCGCTTACCAGAGCCCGTCCTTCCCACGATGCCCAGCTTCTCTCCAGCCTGGATGGTGAAATCGAGCCCATTCAGGACGATAGGCGTGTTCTCTCTGTACCTCATTTTGTACTCATGGAAGGTAATCGCTCCGTTTTTGGGCCAGCCGTCAGGAATCTTAGCCCCCTTTATGTGTCTGGGGGCCTCAGACTTACAGGTCTGAATGTGGAATCAAATAAAAGAAATCCCTTTAGAGAAAAGTGTTATTAGACACCCCAGGATGATGAAGTGCTTTCTTACAGGTGACCTGTTATGCTTCCTTGAACCGGTCTGTGAGCTATGAAAACATGTTCATTACATTTTTTTGCACAAACTCATTCTTAGATGAGATTTCAGTCTGCCAGTTCTGCCTATTCTGTGCTCCTCTCAGAATGAGCCGTTTTAGGGCCTCTTGTCACTTTAAATCCAAACTATCTGCTGCTAGCCACGCCTCCTCAACTCAATGTTTATACTCGCACATAAAAATGGCTGCAAACAGACACGCAATTATATAACCATACATCTTTGAAAAGAAGTGCAACTTTCTGCACAAACAACAAGAATGCAAAAAGTGGATTCTGGATGATAAGTCAACAACAAAACACTTTTCAGCCATTCCCTGCAACCATTTGTCATACAGACATGACAAATTGAGGTCTTTCTATTATTCATTTTAATAGTAGAAGTATAAATGCGAATGCAAATAACAGATTATTTATAACAGTTAAATACAACTTTTGGTATAATAGCACTTTCAGACACCTAGCTTAATGATGAAAATATAAATAATGTCGATATTGTTGGGTATGAACTCTGTCATATGAACAGAAGCAAGAAAAGAGGTGGTGGAGTCGCTTTGCTTATTAAGAAGGAAAGGAGTTGATATTAAAAATGCCAGATCAATGTACATATTTAAAAGTATGGTAAAAATTGTAAGAAATGTGAAATGTGAAATAGAATAATGTGAATTAGAATTCAGTTTGCTTAGTTTCGGTTTTTGTAAATTTCTATTGTTTAAATATATTTTTGGTCTATTTGTATATAATTGTTTAGTTTTTAATGAAATGAGTAAACTAACTAACTAACATGCTGGAGTTCGGTTTGGGTTGCTAGGTGACAAGCTGGGCTTTGCTGGGAGTTGCTAGGTGAGGGGCAGTGCCCGCTGATTTGTGACGTTACATTCTGGAGGTTTTTGATTTTTGAAACGGGCCGTTTTACAAACACCACAAAATCGACCAAGTGTTTTTTATTTTAAGTGCTTGGGCTCTTTTTAGATGCAGTAGAGATCCAACTGGAAGTACAAACTGTGAGTTTTGCATAATACGTCCCCTTTAATCAGGATTCTTACCGTGATGTATTCCAGCAGTCGTTCCACCGAATTGAACCTGGCCTCCACTTCAGTTGACTGCCTCACTACATACTGGAGCATGCCTGTCAGCTGGTAGACATGCAGAACTCAGTGTTGCTACAAGCCTGAAGGATCCAAAAACCAAAAGAAACCCAAAACTGTTTGCTGTCCAGATTTACCTGTATGGTGTAAGACATGGTGAGGCCTTTTAGAGACGGACTAATGACGTCATTGCTGCTCAGCACCACAAACAGAGCCACCAGCAGCGTCATGGAGGCGGCCATGAAGTCCAACCAGAAAGAGAGCCACCGTGTGCCGGAGTGGAACAGTAAATAATGGTTGGAGTTGATGTCATTCAGAGATTTGAACCTAGAGTTTGACCAAAACATAAAAAAGGTAAAACGGTGACACAAAACTTTGACAATCTGACAAAATTTGAAAGTGCCTGGCAAAAGTTTTAAGGTGTTGGAAGGGTAAAAATACTTTTGCAAGGTGCTGTACATTGTAGATCAGTACCAAGATGTCTGTCAGAGAGATATCGCTTGACGATATCTTACAGTTTTATGTGGCTGTCCCTGATGTTGTAGGCGTGGATGGTGCTGAGGCCCTGTAGGGTGGAGGTAGTGAGAGAGATGCACGGAGAGCGGCTGATGTTCTCCATCTTCTTCATCTGACGAATGCCTCTCTGAAATACACTGAAAAAAAATCTTCCAATAAGAGACCAATTTTTTTAACCTGCAGCTTTCTGACCCGACATTGGCCTGACTGGTGTTGGACTTACAAGAGGATGAGGGTGAACAAAACACCCATGACAACCACAGCTGCCAGCATGGCGGGAAAAACAGAGGCGATGATGATGATGGTGAATGTGACGAGGAGACAGAACTGCAGGAAAGGGTCCATGTGGAGAGGAAGCACAGAGTCCAACTCCTCCTGATCTTTAGCAAAGCGGTTGAGAATTCGTCCAGTAGGTGTCGTGTCGAAGAAACTCATTGGGCTGGCAAGAATCTGGGAAGATAGGAAACGATGTTCTCGCTTTTGACAAAGGAACAGATCCACTGGAGCTGATCTCTGCTGAGTCCAGATTTTCCACAGTACCTTTCGGAACATACTGTCATGGAGTTTGCAGGCAGCTCTCAGTGTGACATGAGTGTAAAAAAAGCACTTGATAACAGCAAGGACCACCGTGACGAGGATCATCACTCCATAAATCATTTGGTAGAAGTGCAGGCGGGGATTTTGGGAGACATCACCAGGTTTAGAAGTCATATTTCCAGAGTTAGAAGTTGAATTGGACTAAACAAAAGAAAATATAAAGATATTAGAGGAGCAAAGACTAGAAATAGGTTTAATATATTTCATGTTTGGTGCAATAAAATTAGATAAATATATGGCAAGCTATTTATCTGGCTAATATGGTAGCCAGATAAATTTTCTGTTTATTTGCTATTGCAAATAAACAGTTAGCTAGCTGGACAAAGAACTAGATATCTATCTAACAAGCTAGCTAGCTATTTATCTAACTAGCTAGATAAATAACTAGCTAGATATTTAAGCTAGATAAATAGCCAGCTACCTTATTATTAGCCACATAAATAGCTAGCTGGCTTACTATGTATTTATCTAACTTTATTGCACCAAACATAAAATATAGCTCTTTATCTAGCTATAGCTAGCTATCTTTCTACTCACACTAGCTATTTCTAACAACAATGATGATGCAATTGTGTTAAGTTTAATTAAATCCATGGTGGAGACATGTTTTCGTCCACAAATATGAATGAACTTGTAATTTCTGCATTTCTTGGATTCAAAACTACATCCTTTATGAAAGCACCTGCTCCACTCTTTTCCTTTTTGGAATCAAACAGTTTGGATCCACCAGGATGGGAAAACCGGGAATTGATATTGGCTGGGAAAACTGTGCATGATGCATCTCTAGTTATAAGAATTCATGAAAACTTGTGACTGAAAATGAAAATGTGTGACAGGAAAGACAAACTTCCTCACCCCGTCTCCCTGCCCCAGCCAGTAGCTTAGCCACCAGTTGCTGAAAGCTGTGGATCCGATCATGAGGACTATGATGAAGATGGTGAAGAAGGTGACGAAGTAACCTGCAGACAAAGTTTCACCAAATAAAACCAGCCGTGAAGAGGATATCTGAAGAACATTGCTGCTGAGTTTGGCGTGTGTGTGCGTGTGTTTTTGTGTGTGTCAGACCTCCAACTGCCTGGCAGTACTGGTGGTAGACTCTCCAGGACACTGATCCCTCTGTGGAGGATTCCTGACTTACCAGCTGATCTTCTCCCGTCACAGCGGCTGAACGGGAACAAAATGATCAAATAAAGTCCTTATTTGATTGAAACATGTTCTATTTGTACAGCCTAATGCTGAATCTGCCATTGTCTGACATTTTTTGTGCTTTATTCATTCCTTGCAACACTTCTTTTACCCACCAGAGGTCCTAAATAACCCTCTCAATATGTCTTGATTTTGCCTTTATTTGCCCTTTTTACTATAGTCCTTAATAAAACTACATATATTCTCCCTCATTCACTTTCTGGATCATCTGTGCTGCTTTATGACGTAAGTTTTTCTGCATAGCTGTTCTGATAAAAGTTTGCTGTTTTTGGAGCTTTTATATTCAGTGTTCCTCTAATTTTCTTCATTTTGTCATGGTTGTTAAAATTAAAGGTAAACCTGCTTCTATGAACATCACAATAAGATAACAACAGTTGGACATAAGTTATTTTCTTCTACACTGCCAATGGCAGTGTAGAAGAAAACATGACTGAAACATGACTGAAAATCTGAACAAATTAAAGTAACCTGTGTTGTGAAGTTAAAGCAAAAATTAAACTTTGTGAATCATTGTCTTTAAGGTTCTGGTCTCCCATGTAGGGACTGTTCTGCATCGTTGGTCTGGACCTTGAACCAACTGTTGGGTCAGCATCAGAGTCTACTGATTTCTGTTTACTTACGCTTCTGGTCCGCTGGCGCCCCATCATCAGTTTCATCTGACATGTCAAAAGCTGAAAAGAGGCACAGATGTTATTTTCTCGATCACGACTACAGCAGTTATAAAACTCAGCTTAACTTACATGCTACTCTTAGAAGAAAGCTAACTCCTAAAGATACAAACTTCCCCAGGAGCTAACTAGCATGACATCAGTATGTGTTACCAAGCATTTTTGGTCTAGTTTCTAAGGCAGATATATCAGTGCATTTGAAATTAGACAAAACTAACTTATAAGTAACTTTTCAGCAAGATATAGGAGTTTGTTTTAAGTCAATAATTACTTTTTACCAACAATTATTTGTCATGTTCCACAGAAATAGATCATCTGTGTTTTCATACCAGGGTTCACTATCCCACTGTCAGCGCGCCGTCTGACCTCAGCAGCCTCTTTGTGGGACACCTCATCTTCGCCCTCCTCTTCCTCCTCCTTCTGTGCCTGACATTCACAAACAAGAACCCGGCGATTACAGCTTGTTTTACAGCTGATTCTTCCGTTTAATACCCCGTGCTTGCAGAACGATAAAGTCTAAGTGAAGAGGGGCGTATATCTGGTTCATAAAAACATTTTGTGACGCTCTCACTTCCGACTGCTCCATCTGGTAGTTGCTGATGAGTTGAGCGTAGCGTCCATTGGCCTTCATCAGTGCCTGGTGATTCCCGGCCTCCCTCACTTCGCCCTCTTCCAGAACCAGGATGTCGTCACAGAACTCCAGATACTGCAACACGCACGCCACAACAATCGCCTAATTAGAGCCTTTCTTTTAAAAACAAAATGAGTGGAGTTGCAAGTAATACTTGGAAAGCATTTTATATTTTCATAGCATTTTTCACAACTTCATTTAGGTCAGTGGTGTCCAAACTTTTTTTTTGCTGTGATGGTCAAAACTGGCACACACAAAATTTTATTAAATTAGAATAGCAAGTTTATTGTGATTTTTATTATTATTATTATCTCTTCCTTTTATATTCTCAACACTAAACACAATTAAAAAAAAATCTGTATATCATTAAAAATGTGAGACATAAAAACGGCTTTGGATTGCTGTTAAAAGAAAAACCTGACAATTTCCAAGTTTTGGAAATTGTCAGTTTTCCAAAATTTGTCTTCCATTTACTGCAGTAGCATCCATCTATTGCAATAAGGTGTCAAAAGAAATAATTTCATGTCAGACATATTTTTCGTTTTTTCCATTTTAAAATCATAGTAAACAAAATCCACAAACATCCAATGATTTTTACTCAAGTTCTTGAAGAACAAGAACAAATCCACATTCTGTTCTTGTTTGAATAATAATCAAAAAAACTGATAGGATACTGTTTGTAATGTGTGTGTACCTGTAAAATGTTATGTTTCAAACCAACATAAAACATATACCTCTACGGAAATCAGACTTTTACCATTTTATTAAATGTTGCATGTTTGTATTCTTGCAGGTAAAAGTGAGACGCATCTTTTGTTTTCTAATTAAAAATAAAAATGAAAAAAAAAAAATCTAAATGTTGTGGCCCTCAATTACCTTCAGCTCGACAGTTTTTGTCCCACTTGTCAAAAGGTTTGTATGATCCTACCTGGAGTTGATGTGTGACGAGTATGATGGATTTTCCTTGAAGTTCTTTCTTTATGCATTCTTCAAAAATGTGTTTCCCCACATGGGCATCAACAGCAGACAGCGGATCGTCCAGCAGGAAGATGTCTTTGTTGGCGTAGATGGCCCTGGCCAGGCTGATCCTCTGCTTCTGTCCTCCTGACAGGTTCAGCCCCCGTTCTCCAATCTGACAAAAAAAAATATGGCAACATAAGAACTATGACATTTCTCCCCAATAAATGTTTTTAAAAATCCACCTGAAAATGGGACTTTGTGCAGACAAACAACAGAGTATTGTGTCACTCACTTCAGAAAGTGAAACTCCCATATTATGTAGATTCATTACACGTAGAGTGAAATATTTCAAGCCTCAATTTCTTGTCATTTTCATGATTACTGCTACTGGATAATGAACACCCAAAGTTTAGTGTCTCAGAAAATTTGAATGTTGCAAGAAAGTTGAATGTTTTTTTCATCAAAAGGTTAAGTGGAAGGAAAAAAAAAGGAAAGGTGCAGCTGTGGAGATGAAGATGCTGATTTAATCTTCCAGCAAGATCTGGTTCCTGTCCACACTGACGGGAAACTGGTCACAAAAGCTCGTGTTCCCCCTTCATGCCACATTGATGCAGTAATTCATGCAAATGTTTAGTGCACAGAAATAAACACTTTTAATAAACCTGACATTCCTGTCAGTCAAATTTAGATTCAAAATGAGTGTAGATACTCCTATATCTATGGTCAGACCCAAAACAGGAACACTGGCAGAAGAAGGTTAAAGAGATCACTTGCCTCAGTCCGATCTCCATATGGAAGTATCTTAAGGTCAGCTCTGAGGCTGCACACATCCAAAACCCGGTCGTATCTGTACAACATAAACACATGACGGCTTTTAGTTTGACACTTGCGGCGCTGTGAAAAACTGTTTTTGCCACATGCGGATTTCCTTTTATGCTTTTTTGTTTCACTTTATGTTTCAGAACAAAAAGATTTTTGTATAAGACAAAAATACAATCAAAGACAAGCTGCTAATTTGTATTTACTCAGGCTGTCATTGTTTTTTCATAAAAAACATTGAAAGCCCTGTAGACCTCTGAAACTCTGCTAGTCATGAGCTGCACATCCACTGACCATGTAATTTCGCAATTTGACATTTTGAAAAAACAAATTGACTTTATAGAATTGTGGCAATTTTGTCATTTGTCAATAAAAACTTTTCACCACTAGGAACAAGTTTCATATAGAAAATCTGTAAATTTTGCAGTTTTGCAATTTCCATTGCAAAACTGCAATGGAAATTGTGTTTTATCAATGTTAGCGGAATACTGACAAAGATTTGCGTACATTTGTGATATAAATGCAGATGATGTCAGTGCCCGTGATTCAACAATAATCAAAAAATTGGGCAAAAACACTCAAAGACCAAGCTCACGTTTCCTGATGGTTTTTGGAAGATGTGTGTCCCGTAACGTATGACACACAGGACAGATGTAACTTGCATCTGGAGTAACATTAACGCACTTAAACATAGTGGGAGTGTGATTGTTTGCGGCTACTTTGGATCAGGAAAATCATCCAAGGCACGTTAGCAAATATCACCTGAGAAAAGAGAATTATGGCCTAGTCAAATTCTGGGGTCGGATCCGGCTAAGATGCTTTGGAAAGAGCTTAAATGTACATTACAACTAGACTAATGTAGAACAATTTTGCAATGAAGAGTAGGCCATATAGCTAGTGCTGTAACAGAAAAATGCAACTTCCTGTTACATTTTCAAACAGAAAACTGGATTTTGTGTTTAATCTTTTGCTGTTATTAAAATTTGCTTGATAATCCAAAGCAAAATGAATCTGTAATGGGGCAAATACTTTTTCCCAGCTCTGTACAAAATGGAACAATCATAAAAACATTGGGATATATGCCAGAAAATAAAGAAAAGCATCGTTATATCATTTTATATCTGAATGTTAGCCAGGCTTTATGCTGCCTCAGTGATAACAGCTGCCTTTCTTTGAAATATAGACATTTAAACCAATAAACACATTTATCCCGAGAATTATCTACCCGCAGCTTATCTCGTACATTTCTTACAGTTCTTATCTTAACTTACATCAAGTCTCTCCCCATAAAGGTCTCACTATGTACAGATCAGCAGTTGGCCTAATGCTAGCATAAAGCTGTCAGATAACACAGATGACCTCTGCCCTCGTTTAACCGCCGTGACAGATCAGACTTCCCTTTCTCCTAGTCATACAGTTTTCATGTGACATAACCTCCAAAGCAGACTGTGTTTAGAGGAAAAAAAACTAAACGTTAGCTTGTCCGTTTGGTTTGTGTTAGCGCAGAACACCTAGCATAGATTATCATTTGATATGTTTAGACAACACTCTGAGTTTATTCTGTAACTAGTAGTGCAGAAGGGTTGAGCGATATGGACCTGTCTAATAATAAAAGTGACAATAAACTGTATTTATTTCTTTGTTTTTAGGTCTGTGTGGCTGTGACTGCATGATACAGCAATCATGGCCCCTCAAGCACAAACACTGTTGTAGAAAAACATTCCCATTTATAAAGCGCTTCTTTCGCAAACTAGACACTTAAACAAGAGCGATTTGTATCACTAAACTGAATAACCGCCTTTAATCATATTTTCAAATATATTGATATTTATTGATACTCTCATTGAATAACAGTGGGGAAAATTTTAAAACTATCTAAATAATGATAACTAAGTTATCACAATAAGAATTTTATCATGATAAATAATAAGCGATGAGATGAATTCCCAACCCCAGACGTGTAGTTACTTGGCCTGATTGAAAGCTTCCCCCATCAGAATATTTTCTTGAACTGTTCCGTGGAAAATCCAGGCCTGCTGGGAAACGTAGGCGAACGTCCCATCAGCTGTGATGGAGCCCCGAAGAAGGTGCATCTGCAAGAAAACCAGAAGATCACTTAGACTGCAGGAGCGCTACAAACCTGGGTAGCTAGAGGGGAAAGCATGATGGAGTGAAAAGAAACGGGAATAATCTGTAGAAATTCTGAGAAAAAGATAAAGCAACCTGTTCTAGAATGCTGGAAATGAGCGACGTCTTTCCGCTCCCCACGTTGCCGCAAACGCCCAGCAGGTTGCCCTTCAGGAAGCAAAAGCAGAGCCCTTTAGTTGCCCTTCAGCGGTGTCCACAACAAGTTCACCGGATTTGCTGCAGACCTTGGGCAGAGTGAAGGAGATGTTCTTCAGCGTCGGTAAGCTCTCACTCTGACCCGTCTCGTCCTGCTTGTGGTCCTTCACCTGGCCATTCTGGGGATTGGGGAGGTCCGGCCTGCTGGTAGTTTTGGTCCAGGACAGAGTTGCATTTCTCATCTCTATAGCGGTGTTATTGTCTTTCCTCTGCTCCAGGTAGGGCTCGGGATTCTGGACCAGCAAGATTTTCTGAAACAGCAGCCATACATCGGATTAGGGGTATTTATCGTATCGCGTATCGTAAACAATTGTTTTTACAGTGAAAAGAATTTGATTTATCATTGTCTCAATAAATTTTGTCAATTAAATAAAAGCCAAAATCAATGGAATTATTGAAAAAGTTTTTTTTAAACAATTTTCTCCAGTGTTTGTTGGCAATAGATTTCAGTAAATTTGATTAAATGCAGTTACTGTGTGCAGCTTAGTGACATAAGTCACGCATCTTAAGTAACTGGCAACCCAAAAAACACAAAATCCTACCAAATATTTTGGTCTAATTTCTAGTGCAAATATCTTAGTACACTTGAAATAAGAGAAAACTAATTTACAAATATTTTTGTGCAAGAAGTAGGAGTTTTGTTTAAGTAAATAAGTCCAAAAACACTTGATGCTATGAATGCTGCGGCATACAGTTACCACAAAAAACAAACAATAGTTTAATTTATCATAATTTTTAATTATCTCAATAGTACCAAACAATATTGCAATACAATTCTTAATCCATATCACTATATCGGTTTTAGAGTGCCTATCACTGACTTCCTTTAAATTACATGGATCTTACGTGATAAACATAAAAAAAGCACAGAAGTTCACCGATTTGTGCAGAAACATTTAAAAAGAAAGCAGCTGCTTAAAACTGTACCCTTAATCTCTTGAGGGACACAGCGGCTTCAGCAATAGCCTTCACGCACAGTGGCAGCAGAGCCAGAGAGAACCTCATGGCGTTGAATATGGCGATGGTAGTGAAGGCCTGTTGATATCAGAGAACATAAACAAAATCAATATGACCCCTGGCAGGGTTAAAACCGAGTCTAAATGAAAATTGCTTGGCAGACATGAATCGTGATAACTGCTGATTTCACAACCCCCCACACGACAAACCCCCTGGCGCTGCCCGCTGCTACACTTACGTCGGACGTGGTGAGCGACAAACCCAGCAGAGTGTGCACCAGGAAGGTGAGAACGGTGGCGACGGTCGGGATGATGCTGGAGATGCTGGTGTTGATGTTCTGGATGTAGCTGACCAACCGAACCTGCTTCTTTTCCTTTTTTCTTAACCCTGGAAGGAAGATAACGTTTCTGTCATGTAGTACCACAGAATGTCCTTTAGGAGGCGGGGAGAATTATAGGTTAGAAGGAAAATCATACATGGTTTTCAACAATTTTTTACAAATAAAACTCTGAAAATTGTGTTGTGCCTTTCTATTCAACCTGTTTTACTCTGATGGCCCTAAATAAAAATAATCCTTACGTCACCTCGTCAGTAAATAGAGTTCATCTGTGTGTGGCTTGAGCTCATGTAAAACAGACTCTGTTCTAAGGTTGAGCTTTATTAGTTACAATGAGCAACAGTTTGACTCAGTAAATAAATAAATAGTGACATTTTTGATCCATTTCATGATCACGGGGCTGCTTGAGGGTGATCTATGTTTTACTACATAAAAACCTAAATAAGATTACACTGAAGTCAGAATGTGTAAAAAGTCAAAGTGTAATAAAAACACTTTTGTGAGACTCTGTCCAAACACCAGACTCACCTGCTATCTTCTTCTCAAAGGACTCCTCCCAGGCGTACATCTTGATGAGCTTGATGCTGTTCAGAATCTCGTTCATGGTGCGGACGCGGCCGTCTGTGAGCTGCATGGCTTTCCATCTAAACTTGTTAATGAGCTTTGCCAGGAAAAACTGCAAAAGAAATTTGATTTTAGGAGTATTTTTACTGTACTTTTTACTTTCACTTAAGTAATTTTATTATGTAGTATTGCTACTCTTGCTTGAGTAAAAATGTCTGGATTCTACCCACTGTGAGCAACTTCACTGAATGAAGAACAAGCTTGTTTTAACCAAGGATTCATCTGACTCAGACTTGATGTTTTTGTTAAAGTTTCGTCAGTTTTATATAGAAAGAAATTAATTTGGGAATAAAAAATGGGATTTTGCTTCATTTTGTGGTTTTGAAATTATGTTATTTATATGAATTAGTTTAATTTTGCTCTTTAAAACAGCACTTGATAAAATCTAGTGCTTCAATTATTGGCTGTCTGTTCTATGACTTTGTACTTTTGTGTTTTTATGATGTAAAGCACTTTGAAGTGCTGAAACGTGCTATTCAAATAAGCTTGATCGATTAATTGATAATACAAATATTTTCCACATAACTTTGTATTTCGGTCCGTCTGATGATGTCATGATCAGTACTTGAGTCGCTACTTTTAACTCTTACTTGAGCAGGAATATGTTAAAGTAGTGCTACGCATACAGCTACTTTCTATTGGTCGAAACATATTCTGGAAAAATAGATTGACATTCAATTTCTTTCTTTACCTTTTATCTAAAAACATCCTTTAAGGGATGCACTTTGTCCTTACTGTTGCTTAGTTAATGCTCAGATAAAACTAACTAAGCCGGGGTTGTGATGCGAGCTGCTGACCTGTAAGGGGACAAAGATGATGTAGATGCAGACCCCTGTCAGTGCAGTGTAACCCAGAACAAAGCAGGCTAACACAATGCATCCGATGAAGATCACCGGGGCGCAGATCGCAAAGCTCCCAAACAGCACCGCCTCGAACAACCGGTGGCCGTCGCTGGTCAGGACGTTTATCATCTAACGGGAGAGACAGCGAGCGGATTTCAAATCCTCCGTAATTACAGCGTCTGGTGATTGCATCATGCTTTACCTCTCCCATTGAAATCCCGCTGTGCACCCTCAGAGAGATGACTTTCTGAAATGCTATAGAGGAGAAGGCTCCTTTCAGTCTGGCGGCCGTCCGCAGGTTGACCGCCCACATCAGGGAGATGAAGAAAGCTTTGAGGAACTCGGTGCAGAACAGAGCCACGGCCAGGCCGACGCCGTGGGCCACCGTGGACTTCTCTGGGCTTTCTATGTAGGTCAGGATTTTGTTAACCAGGATGCCCTGAGGGGGCACAGGAAGATGTTGAGACGTAGTAAGACAGGCATGTTGCGAGGAAACGTCAAGTTCCAAAGTCAAATGTGTTGTAACATATATTACTCTGAACATATCAAACAAACTGCAAAAACAAGTAGTTTTGTTCTAGTTTCTAGGGCGAATGTCTGAGTAAAATAAAAAGAACTCATTACTTTTAAGCAAGATACAGGAACTTGTTTTCAGTACATAATTCTTGAATGTTGAAAAAATGCTGGTGCTCCTGGCAGATTATTTCACTTCCAACAACATTTTTCCTGTGTTATGTCATGATTCGGGTTTTGGTGAGGTGAGATAAGACACAGGCAGGTCAGAATGAAGATGTATTATTTTAATGATAAAGTCCACAGGGAAACAGGCTGACGACAAACACGACCGGTAACACACGACGAGGATCCGACCAACACACAAAGACAATAGGTGGACTTAAATACACAGGGAGGGTAATCAAGGAATGAGACACACCTGGGAAGCAATCAACGGGGAAGACAGTACAGGGACAGGACTAAACACAGAAAACCTCAAAAATAACTACACAGAAAACACAGAACACAACAGCACCCCCTCCTCAAGGGCAGCTCCCAGATGCCCCCAAAAAATACAACAAAAAACAACCCATCAGGGTGGGCGGAGGGGCAACGGATGGAGGGCCAGAGTTCAAAGAAAAAGAATAACTCAGTCCAAACAAAACTCCAAACACAGAAAACGGTCCGGTGGGTGGCGACACCGGTGAACCCAGGTAGTCATGATGAAAATTATGATTTAATGAAGAACCAGGAGAACAACTCAAAATCCAAAATCACTGGCAGCACAGGGGACCGAAACAGATGAGGACCCGACAACAGACAAAGACAACAGGTGGGTTTAAATACAAAGGGAGGTAAACAAGGGAACGAGACACATCTGGGAACAATCAACGGGGAAACGCAGAGACAGAGACTCACAGGGAAACACGATAACAAATAAACATGGAAACTACTCAAAAATAAACACAGAAAACTACCGATCCTGACATGTTATGGTTTAAAGAAATCTTCTAATGGAACCTATTTAATTTAAAGTGCTGTAAGATACTGACACAAGAATCTAAATATAAACACTTGGTAAGATTTTGTGTTTTTGCACCATAAACATACAAATAGAGCTAAGGTTGAATGAAAATCAAAGAATACCTATGTTTTAGAATGGCCTAGTCAAAGCCCAGACCTAAATCTAATTAAAACACATACCTAAATATGACAATGCTGACGTGCTCTCCATTTAATCTAAATGAACTTGAGCTATTTTGCAAAGAAATGTGGGCAAAAATGTGAGTCCCTAGATTTTCTAAGTAGGTAGATAAATAAATACAAATGTAGAAATGTGTTTGTAAAGACAAACTTTGATGGCATTTTCCTTCCACTTTGCAGTTATGCACTACTGTATTTGCCTACCACAAGCAACATATTGATCTTTGTATTTCCAATGTGACAAAACAGATTGTCACATTGGCTTTTACAAGGCAGTGTAATTCATTTCAGGTTTAGTTTTATTAAAACATGAAAGAGAATCTCAGAAGAAGCCTCTCCTATCAATGTAAATTTTTCATTATCAAGACCAGTTTCATTTATCTTGCTAAAATTGCACAAATTGGAATTATGTAAATAAATGTACTTAATGGAAACGCTTGTTCTGTGAAAAAAAAAAAAACAAACAAAAAAAAAACACGTTTTTTTTTGACAAAAGGTTTTTGTGCTGGAATGAGGTGATTTTTCAGCCATATAAATTTGTGTATTTTGCAAAACTGCAATGGAAACACTTTTGCACATCACACAAGTCACGTGATCAACAGCCAGGTGGAAAAGACGTAGAAGTCGACAGGAAGTGGTAGGAGGATGACGGTATGTTTTTC